AGGTTTTAAAAAAAAACAAAATCTTTTATATTGATGGCCTATATTGAGTAATAGCAACGAACTTGTAAATATCATGGAAAGTTTTAAAGAGCATTTTCAAGAATAATTCGTCATAATACTATTTTACATATTTTTCCAACTCATTTTGCTCGATTAAACTGAAAAGATTTATTAATTTTGAAAACCACGTACAATACCACCATACTACAACTAAGCCTTAATTGTCAGTTGAATGGACATTCGTGTACTTTAATGATGCATGCAATATAGATTAACTATGTTAAGTATAATTGTATGGTTAAACCCTCAAAACTAAAATAAATAATAACAATAACCAATATTAGATAGGTAACAAATAATAAGTGCTACCTATTCAAGTATACACGTGGGTGTGCCCTCGTCCCACACACAAAACAATATTTTAACAGTAAATCAAAGTTGCTCGTTGTCTGTAAGTATGTATAATGTATCAATGTGTGGAAAAAGGATTTTACACTGCTGACGAAATAATTTAGCCAAACACAACAATTATTTTTCCAGCGGTGAAATGGTAAATTTCCAAATGTGTTGTTYGATTAAAATAAAAATGTATAGAACYACGGTCATAATTAGGGCGCAGACATTTTGGTGAGAAGACAATTACGTAAAGTAAACACTTCTCCGTCTTTGTCTCTGTTTACCTTTAACTGTTTTCTTCCAAWGAGTTTTTGGGTGGACTGAATTTATATATTTTTTCATACATTGATCCTATTTTAGGCATGGTTACATGGTATTTTTCTTATCGTGACTTCTTCAATTGCCACTTTATTATTACTTTTCTATTAATAATCTTGACCCACACCAATMTTTTTTTAGTCATTTACATTATAATACATAATATTATCGTTGAAAATATATTTTGTAATTATGCGTTGTGTAATCTTTTACATTTTCTGCTTTGCAGATATTTAGTACTCGTGTAGTATGCTACCTACCTATCAAAAAAGTTTACCATTTTTACATGCTGATTAACAACAATATTTATTTAACTAAAATGTAGGGTTGATGATCATCATTGTTAAGTATATTAATACGTTATATATATTGTTACAACTGTGTATAGTATGTTATCCAAATAACTTCAAATATATATTGAAAATTATAACG